CAGAAGATAAAAAGAACTAATGTTTTTTTTATTTAATTATATAATTAAATTTGCAGTTATAAGCTTCGGTTTTTGAAACATGGCAATTCCTATGTAGCGAAGAAACCATATTTTAAATCAGTTAATTTATAATATTTACGCTCTGTAAATTTACATTGAGCACTGTTTTGTAAAAAATAAAAATATCAATAAGAACACCGGATTATATATCTTATTGTTCTTTCTTTTATTATTATATATATATATATATATATATATATATATATATATATATATATATATATATTGTTAAATATAACAGGCAATGAATATCTATTATGTTTGATTATGAGCCGTTCTAAACTCCACATATTTGCTTTAATTTCAGGTGAAAATAAAAACAAGAATTGTCTAACATTTGGATATTTTTTTTTTATAAATCTGTTACTTGATCTAAGCTTTTGGCTTACATCATGAAGTGGGTACTGTGGTAAATACCGAATGGGAACAGTCTGTTTCATGCTTGAATTCAATCATCAAGTCAATTTCCAGATTGATGACCTTAAGATTAAGTATGAAACAGACTTTCGCCGCTCCGTATTTACTACAGTATCCACTTTAATATTGTATATTTATATACAGTCTATCTCTGATATTGAGTTCTTTTACCCATAACTATAGCATACCATAAATTTTATCATTTGTATATCTAAATGCTTAATGGCTGGCCACTCGTATTCGAGGATACGCATCTACTAAGGCCGCTAGCTAATCCTTATTGCAGACGCTTGCTCAGTAGTAATGTGTGTTTGTTCTAAAGCCACAGAGCCCATCTGTGGTTTAGACTACAACTATACTGAGCGGATCTTAATTACAGTTTCTGGGAGAGAGTTTGTTATTTAGCGTTATCAACTGTCTGAACAATGCCAATGCACTCAAACATCGGCCACGATGACGTATGACTTCGTGCTAGCACAGTTATTGACAGCTCCTAAGTGTTCCGTCTACCTAATTTCACTCAAAAGGTTTGGGTCAGCCTGTCGTCTGGTTTTCAGGCACTTTCCCAAGATGCCGCACGCTGGGATTATCTGTACAGTCCGCCTCAAATTATGCAATTCACATAATGTTAAATAACTGGAATTTGCTTGGAAATGTTTTGTCAAATATTAAATGATTAATTTTGACGTCAAAACAAAAAAGTTTAAGTTAAATTTTCAGGTAGTCTCAATACATTTTATTAACGTTATTGCTTTTGCGATGCGATTTTAGAGCATTTACTGCCATACAAGAGGACCAACATGATATAACATTTAAGTATTTTTTTCTTTGTTTCTGACGTGTTTTTTTTATTACTTTTCTTAGCTTTTGGAAGCTATTTTACACACAAATGGTATAGAGATATGTACCCGCAGAATTAAATTATGTTTATTAATACATTTCACATGAAAAGGAAAAGGAATTGACACATGTTTAACAAAAAATCGGATAGGCAACAGATCGCAAAGATCATTTTGCTACTGTCATTTGGTTTATTAGAAAATTACATTGAGCATTCATTTAATTAAAACGAGATTATTTGCAAAACATGCAATAATATCATACGCGTTCAATTGTCTTGTTAATTGGAAGTCATGCTGACTTTGCTATAATGAAAACAAAACTAACCGCTCTTATATTTCAACGATTTCTTGAGAAAAATACTATTAAATTTGAACAGAACATCTGCTCCGAGTAAAAATCGTTAAAACAAACGTTTCTGTATTTGTTGCTGATTTCCACGCAAAAAACTCTCTTGACCTCTGATATTTTCTATACAGTTCGTTAGAACAATTTCATAAATCTATTTTATCGATCTGGCTCGTTCAAATACACCGTGCTCTATCGATGGGAATCAGTTTTTAGGAATTGCGTTTTTATTATCGAAAAATAACTTTTTAATTCAATTGAAAATATTCCCTTGTTGAAAGACGGGTGAGTAAAAAGTAGATTTCAAAAAAATTTTTCCAGCTTATGGGAAACATTGAATCTTCCTGGATTCGAGAAGTACTCGAAATGTACTTATTGGCTCATAATGAGCGAACGGTTAATTTGTTTAAATTGACTTTTTCGACTATAATACTTTTGCGAGAAAATATATAATCTAATAAGAACGGTGTTAAGGATATCTTAATAGAAAGACAACGCTCTGTTTTATTTTTCTTAGTTCACCATGTGTGGCTGAGGCTCGATGTCGCCTATACAAATAAATATTAACAACACTTAACAAACACATTTTAAAGGAAATATTTATATATATATTTTCATTATTATTTATATATATATTTAATTTAATTTATATATTTTACATATATTATCTTTCCTCGAACAGAATCAGTTCACTATAGGGGTGTCTAATTTTAAATAAAATTTTAATAACGTTAGACAACAGTTTCAAAGGATGACCATATTATAATAAGAAGCAATAATGCTACCGAAGAATATTCTTCGCATAAAATCAGAAAAAAAGAACCAATATGCTTTG